CTATCATTCACATACATGCAAAAACTATTTTTGCCGTATAAATGGCCAACTTTTTCAGCGGCGGTATTTCCAGAAGTATTTTTTCCATTCATTACTCCCATTGGATTAAAAAGTCTTTATTAAAGCATTATAAGCCATGAACCAATAAAATCAGCCGAGGTGAATCACAACACTACAAACTTTGCTTTGAAGCTGATGTTAAACACAATTATTTTAAAAAATAAGTTTAAATAATGCGAACTGACAGCTTCAACAGAAGCAAATATCATTGATTAACAACCCTGTCTTTATTAAAGGTTTATAAGATATCGTAAAAAAAAATGAAATAAATTAATCCCAATGGAGAAAATGACTGGACTTTTTACTTCCAAACTCAATCTGTTCAAAACGAACATCAAAAAACTACAGTCGTTTGTTGATTTAACAGAGAGTGCAGAAAGCACTTGAAAATGAATGTCGAGAAACCCAAATGTTTTACGCAAATATGCTGCAAATAGCCCAGGTTCATGTTGGCAAATAAACATTAACCAAACATCATCTGCTGTGGCAAGCCATGAGTTATAATAGTGCTGGATGGTCAGGAGCTGCCAATAGAAGGGCCACCAAAGGTCCAGGTCTTGCTCACCACACAACCGATGTATTTCCTGTTCATTCACTAAACACACCGAGGTCAAAGATCAACTCTTATGTAAAGGTCTATATAAAAGAATATTGGCATTGTTGCAGCATGTTGAGGCTCAGTGTCTGGTCTGGATAAAAATATGACAGCCCTTCAGCTATGATGGCCATCATTACCGTGACGGCTCGGTAAAAGATGTGACGCATTAAATGGGACACAGATGTTCCCGGTTACTCCTAGTTTAAATCTTGTGGTAGAAGTGTTACGACAGTTTCATAAACAGGAACTGCTTGAGTCTTTGATTGGCATTGTGTGAGGTAATGTCCCAAGAAACTACAACCGATAGACTTTCTCTGCCTCTGTTCTGTTTTAGCATCAACCACATCATTCTTCTTCCCTCCATCTTTGTTTCTCTGTGCATCATTTTCAAGATCAGTCTTCATTTTGGGAATATTGTGCTAATGATAGTATATTTTATGTTTAATGTTAAATAGTATGTATTTAAATAGGATTTTATTTTAAACCTGCCATGACTAATCTACTCAAGTGTCTCCAAAATATCTTGTTTTTAATGCCAATGGCATGATGCTTTTTTGCCTGTAATTAATAGTTTATTTTAAATGTATTTGAAATATATATAATTAATAACAATTCATTTAAAATGTTATAAATGCTTATATATATATATATATATATATTTAATCATAATTTTTAATCATATTTATCCAAACCCCCCCCCCCCACACACACACATATATATATATATATATATATATATATATGAAGAGTTCAGATGCAAAAGCCTCTAAATGCCATTTGAAATTTTCTTCTTTAATGATGATTTTTTATCAAACTTGTATATTTAAGTTCAGTAATTTCACTTAAATGGCAATGATAATTACCTATTAATTGTTATTTAAGTGAAATTAATGAAATAAAATATACAAGTTTGATAAAAATCATCATTAAAGAAGAAAATTTCAAATGGCATTTAGAGGCTTTTGCATCTGAACTCTTCATATATTATTAATCATAATTGAGATGTGTAATTCTCCAGTATAATTGTACTATTAATTACAATTATAATATTTATTAACATTAAAAAGCTTTTATTTTTATTTTTTGTTTGTTTTAAATTTGCCTTTAATTAAAAATAAATTACCCTAATTGTTGCATTTGTCATTTTGATTGTTATTATTATTTTTAAAATATATTTTTGTTTAGCTTTAATTTTTTTTCAGTTTTATTAATTTTAGGACTTCAACTTCTTTATTTCATTTGTTTTATATATATATATATATATATATATATATATATATACTGTATATATACTGTATATATATATTCATTATATTTCATTTCAGGTTGGTTTATTTTAATAGCCAAGTTTTAGTTTTAGTTCACAAAAACAACACTTAAGACACTCTTTGCTTGATTTTTACATCAAAAAATGTATTCCATCAAACATGTTCTTGAAAATGCTACAAAAGTTCAGCGACCCTCTATACTAGGCGACAGATAAATGTCTAAAGAGCAAACACATTCTCTTGACCCTTTGGTTTGAGCTTTTTTTAACATGCAGGTTTGTTGTTTTTACAAAATTTTCAGCTAATTATCCCACATTAGTAACAGGTTTTTGTTATCACAGCCCTGCTGCCAATGCTGTTTTAACCTCCTCACCTTTTCACACATTTAACCAACAACAAAGACGTTTAAAAAAAAAGTTTGCACATAACACAATTAGTTAGGGTTACTGAGTTGGTGACTATCATTTACAATGAGTCAAGACCTCTCTCTCTCACACACACACAGATACACACACACACCCAGTCATAAGAGGGTAGGGCACGTTTCTGTGGGACCGACAGGGCTGTTCTTAAGTGCTACAGCTGTGTAAGCAGACATATATTGTTTTTAACCCCAGCAGAACTCGACTCCAATTACGATGCTAGGCACCAAGCCCAAAACACACTCACACACCCTATCAGGGTCAGTTTTAAAACAAATGTCGTGGTTTTCTGAGGAAATGACGGCTGTGCTGTCTGTCCAAAAACTTGTTGAGGGACATCTGTCTGTGGTTGCAATCGCAGCCTCAGTTGCACAGTTAACACAGCTGAGGTTTGATACACTGACTCATCTGAGCCTAAAACAGGCACAAAAATAAAATAATAACACATTAGGGAGCTTTGGTAGGCTACTTCAAAACTCAGTATGGTGTTTTGCAGGTGCACTGTGCATTAAATCTATCACAGCAAGCTGCATTGCGGTCAGTTCTCACAGTTTTAGCCTAAAAGGCCTGGAATGGATTTAGAGTGAGGTCAGGGGTCTAAAATGCCAATTAATTGATATTGCTATGCCATTTCAAGGATTAAACACTGGAATGTTCAGGCAGTGCCAGGAGTAATTTAGGCCAAGGCATATGTGCCAAAATATGTTGCCTGTATGCCGCTTTGGGAGGGGAGATTGTGTGAGAAAGCATATTTGTTAAGTGTTGTTTGAGTTATCCTGAATGATCTGTCTGTCAAACTTGACTGTGGAAACCTCCCTTCTCCCATATGGGCTTTTATGTCCAGTTGCACCACTTTACATAGTCTGGAACGCCGTGAACACGGACCAGTCGAGTGATGCAAATCCCAGTGCTGTTGAAGTAAACATCAGCATTCCTGGAAACCCGCTTGGCCAATCAAATTCAAGGACTGGAGTCTGGAACTGACTAGTGTATCTTTTGTCACTAGAACGATTATTTAACTATAGGCCCGGTTTCACAGACAGAGCTTAGATTAAGCCAGGATTAGGCTTTAGTTCAATTAGGGCATTTAAAGGAGTAGTTCAATTTTAAACAAAAAAAACTTTTGCTGATAATTTACTCATCCCCATGTCATCCAAGATGTCCATGTCTTTCTTTCTTCAGTCGAAAAGAAATTAAGGTTTTTGATGAAAACATTCCAGGATTTTTCTCCATATAATGCACTTTAATGGGAACCAAACGGTTCAAGGTCCAAAAGACAGTTTCAGTGCAAACTACAGGGGCAGTTTAGCCCTGCAAGGGGCTTTAAACGATTCCAGACGGTGAATAAGGGTCTTATCAAGCAAATGATAGGTCATTTAAAAAAAAAAAAAAAAAAAAAACGAATCATTTTGAGTCATTTGGTTCATTCAATGAATGAAATGAATGAATGGACTCGGAAAAAGATTTAGTTTCGCTTGAGACCTTTATTCATCGTTCAACTGTTCTTTGAACAGTTTGCACTGAAAGTGTCTTTTGGACCTTGAACCGTTTGGTTACCAGTAAAGTGCATTATATGGAGAAAAATCCTGGAATGTTTTCATTAAAAACCTTAATTTCTTTTCGACTGAAGAAAGAAAGACATGGACATCTTGAATGACATGGGGGTGAGCAAACATCAGCTAAAGTCTTTAAAAAGTGAACTACTCCTTTAAGAAAGCTTTTATAAACGTTAGAAAGGTGTGCATCTTGAGAAAAAAACAAAGGCAACTGACATTTAAGATTTAAGATCATTGAAAGTTAAAACAGATCAAATATGCATTTAGTCTCAAAAAGGTACACTTTTTGTACCTAAAGGGTGCACATTGGTACCTTCATGGTACATATTTGTACAATTATGGTACCGATATGCACCCTTTACGTACCGCCCCAGTGACAGCTTTTGTACCTTTTTTTCTGACAGTGTACGACTAGATTTAAGCCTTGTTGAAAACGGGGCATAATATAATATAATATATTATAATATAATATAAGCCCACCGTTCATCAGTTTAGGGTTGGGGTTGGTAATTGTTTTTCTCTTCTGCTCACAAAGGCTGCATTAAATTGATCAAAAATAGGCCTACAGTAAAACAGCAATATTGTGAACTATTATTATATAGCCCTATATAAAACTTACTAACAGACTTCAAACTTTTCAACGGTAGTGTATTAAATGTATTAAATCAGGTTAACATACATTTGACCTCGTGGAATTCCACGTTTCATTAACGCTGATTACAGGACTCGTAATTTCACAATCCCCAGATGAACTTCCATTTCCATTTCAAAGTCTCACGAATGCTAACAGGCACTCCCATGATCCAGTACTATTGCAAAATGAACAAAATGCTGTCTGCTCTTCATAATTTGGCTGGAGGTTTGATGTCCAGTCTTCAACTCTGCCAAAAACACCATGCGCAACAAACGAATGGCATGCCAATATTAAAGACAAACAAATCTAGTAATCAGATGATAAATGCACTTGTCAAGTAGGAAACGAGAGCATACACTAATAATCATGTTTATTACAAAAGCGTAAGCAAGCTGTGCGTAATCTGTGCGTAAAATGTAGCTATTTGTTGTTCAAAATAAAACGAAATGAAAAGCATCTTACCTTATTCATAGCTCTTGCATCTCTGGCCAAAAGAAGCATAAATGTTAAAATACTTGCGTAGATCCACATTTTTCATTAACTAACCCAAGTCCCCTTTTTAAATGCACACCTTCCACCTGATGATATGATTTGGCGTTTCTGAAAGCACCTGTATCCTCAGCCTGGAATTATGAGCCTAGATCCGCTAGAACACAGGTTTACGGCTCCATGATTACAGGTCGGTGCCATGCAGAGTTGTGTATGTTGTGACGCGCAACTTCAGTGTAAGCAGCAGCTCGAGCTCGAGCCACGCAGCGCAGATCTGTGATGAACGCGCGCACACACCCACCCACCATCATCCTCATCTCGGACACGCTGTCTGTGCCACTGCCAATGCAAAGAGGGGAACCACTGGCACTACTTCTGTGCCAAGATGACATTTGTGTTTTGAGCATATTTGTAAATGTCCAAGGACATTTAAAAGTCACCACTGACCACTATAATTATATTTCTATAATCAAAAGAAGCGTAAGTTGCCTTCGTGGTTGATGCTAGATACAAAACCTCTATTTTTTATGTCTCATGTTGTTCTTATTAATAATAATCGTATCGATATTATTAATGTTCAGTGACAAATGAGCAACGTAAAGCTTTCAGATTAAGTTTTCGCTGTTGTCTAGCGCCCTCTTTCGGTCAATAATGATTATAAAATTAAGAAGATCGATCTCGTGTGTGCTTAAAATAGGGTGTGAATAAAGAGTTTTAATGTGCCAGACATGCTAGAAGTGTTATGGTGCTTTAACTACAATGCATTAACTAACATTATCTGATGAATACATTTTATTATATGTTTATTACTCTTTGTTAAGTTATTACAAATAGTTAATAAAATAGCTAATAAAAATGCAACTGTATTATTTCTTCATTATGTCCATTAATAGGCTACTAATAGATACAAAGTTTGATTTTAGTAATCTGTTTATGTTGTAATTAACAAAGATTAATAAATGCTAGAAGTAGGCCTATGAGCTATTTTTCATTAAGCTAACTAATGTTAACAAATGCCACATTGTAAAGTGCTAACACTTTATTTGTCAGGTTCTGGTTACATGTTACATGTGGCCTAGTTACTGTATAATAACTATAAATAATGCATAATTATATAACTAACTCTAAACCAAACCCTCATCCTATAGAGTAAGTAGCCGTAGTTAATTATTATTTCTCACACTTAAATGTAAAATTACACTGTAACAGTGCAGTCACCTTAATAAAATGTAACTGTAAAGTGTTAATAAGAAAAGCATAGGCTATTTTCTTTCTTTCAAAAAAAAAAAATCAACTTAATCAAAATAAAATGTCAAATACCTTAATAAAATATCACTAAATACAATAAATGTGAAATTAATATTTAAACTTTACATTTAATTTACATAATATATCAGCATATGTGCATTAAATCAATATGATTAAGAACTGCTTTGAAATATCAGCCTGGTTTTTGAATAGGCCTAAACTTTCTCTTGAAAAAAAAAATGTTATTTAAAGGGATCATTTTTCAAAGGGAACATTTTTAAAAGTTGCTTAGCCTACTCACCCTCAAGTTGTTCCAAACATGCATGCGTTTCTTTCTTCTGTTGAACACAAAAGAAGATATTTATAAATATCCCCCATATCACCAATTGACTCCATAATAGGAACGAAATATTAGGAAGCTACTATTTAAAAAAAGTCTTCGTGAACTATATCCCTTTAAGATAAAACGACGACGAGGCCTAACTACAAAAAAAAAAAAAAAAACTCTAATATATTTTTTTCTGTTTTAACTGTAGTAATATTTTTAGAAGAACAGTCTTGCCACTATGATTATTGTGTTACTGTTAAAAATGGCTTATTAAACAATACATCAGCTGATGTCAAACTGTAACCCCGCCCCTTTTGACCAACTTGGAATATTATTGGCCAAAAGAAACCCGGAAGCAAAGTGAATTGTTTTCAAAGCCGTATATGCACGTGTTGAAAATATGGTCAGATTTAAGTCGAGGTAATGAAACAGCAAAAAGGATATTTTGCACTTTGTTAGGTTTTGAACTTCTAAACAATTTCGTGCTTTCGTTATTCTTTGGACTGTGTGCAGGTATTTGCTATGCGAGATTTGCTTCTCTGAACGGAGCAGTCTGCCACTGTTGGAGGATAAAGCCATTTACCACACAGTCCGAGCAGCCGTGAACCGAGCACACGGGGACTATGGATCAGCGCACTTTAACATTGGGGTGATGGGTAAACACTGGTCTTGTTGTCATGTTGTGCTCATCGTGAATATCTCAACTTATAAGAATGTCATTATTTTACGTTACCGTTATTTTAATTCATCTAGCGACATTGCATTTACTTAGCTCAGCTTAACGTCTCGTTACAGAAATGTAAAATCTTTTTAAATGTTCTTTAGTGAAATACCTGAATGCCCAAACCGGAGTGGTCCTCATACGCTGCAGGAAAGGGCATTATCGACTCATCTGGTCTGCCCTTACTTTCATCAACTGCCTTGAGAACAGAGGCCAGAGGGTGCCGTGCTTCTTCAACTGTTTACATGTTGGAGGTAAGTTACTGGTCCAAGTTTAGAAGTGAAGAGAGATGAAAGCCAACTACCCACAATGTCTTGACGTGTATTCTAACTGCCATCCATGTCCTTCCTAAACTCCTCCACAGGAACGATTAGAACATGTCAGAAGTTTCTTGTTAAGTACAATAGACAACAGCTCGACAGAATGCTGCTGGACTGCAAAACAGATGGTAAGTTATTTCTATTAGTTACATTAGAGCCTACAGAAGGTACGTTTTTTCGTGTTTTCTTGTGATCTAGACATAAAGATCCTATATTCATTATCCAACAGCAGATGAATTTCATACCGTGTGTTTTAGGATCACTGTACTTTTGCATGGAAGTTAAAGTCCACATTAATATGGAACTTGATCATAGGCGTCGATTTCGGTGGGGTCGCGTACCCACCAGATTTCGTCATGAGTCATTTTTTACCCAGCACGTCTCTGAAAATGCACTTCCGAATGTGTCTCTGTCCCCAGCTCACTTCAAACCAAACTGACGCCCATGAACTTGATAGTCTTTTCTTCCTTATTGTGATAAATATGAGTTAAATGGCTTCTTGAACAAGAAATGTACAGTAGGGCCAAGACTTGGTTTTGTCTATCAGTAATTGATTGGATGGTTGTAGTTTGATATTGCTGTGATGTCATGTGAGTGACAGGCAGGGATGGGCAGTATTTCAGATACATGTATTTAAAATACGTATTTGAAATACAAAATACTATTTTGTATTTTGTATTTTAAAGCCTTTGGAAAAAATCAAATGTAATTTGTATTTAAATACATTTAAGATGAGTATTTTTGTATTTTCAAAATACTCAAAATACTTTGAGCCAGTCAACCTCTTTATCAGGGTACTGTTTTCATGCATAAAGATCAGAGGAAGGATTTGGACATCTTGAACCAGTATCCACTTATTAGACAGCTGTTTGGACGCCTTAAACACAAACTTTTTGAAAAGCTGGTGGTGCTAAAGGGTATCGAATAGATGGATGTCAGAAACACATAGGTACACCACGTGGAGGAGTACACCATCAGTTATTTAAAATATAATTGACTTTTATTTGTGTTATTGAGTTCTTGTTACTGAGTGCGAGGTAATGATAGTGATAAAACATAATAAAAGATGTTTGAAATTATTTATTTATTTATTTTTTTTGTAGTTTTGTATTTCCTACAGGACTGGGGAAGGGAAGAGGTAGCCTATATAAAATGAAAACGAAAGTTTCTTAGTAGTTGTAGTAATCTGAATAATTGTTGGCATTCAGAATAGGCCCACATAGATTTCAGCAGGGATGCCTGCACTGAATCGCCAATTTCACATGTATTTTCTGTATTTTCAAAATACAAAATACTGTATTTGTATTTAAATACATTTTTCCACACAGTATTTTGTATTTGTATTTAAATACATTTTTCCACACAGTATTTTGTATTTGTATTTAAATACATTTCCATGTATTTATGCCCATCCCTGGTGACAGGTGAAGTTATTTGGTGTGAAGATTAGGAGGGCACATGAAAAACAAATTGTGTTAGGTTATGCATTACTAAGTTATTGAATTACTTGTCCCTTGAAAAAGTAAAGTAACGGATTACTCTTAATTTTTCTCTAATTTAATTACAGTAATTGTATTAATTACTTTACAGACTATAGAACAATTCTATATAAAACAGTAATGGATTTAAGATCAAAATTTAATGTCTATGTTAATGTCTAGTGGCAAATACATGAGTTGTACGAGGTATCTATATCTATTTTAAAACAAGCTAAACAAAATTGCTGCTGATGACACATTTTACATGAGGATTTTAACTACTTTCAGGGGGATGATTTAGGATTTTGATGTGTAAATCAAATAATTATAAAACTGAGGTTAAATTATGGAATAGAGAACTCCAAAACTAAGATTAGATTGGTATACTGAAGGTTTTTTTCATATAATTTAGGTATATTTCATAACTTTGTCTTTTGGTAAGTATTGCGTTATGTAAAAGTCCAAATGTTTTATTCTGGCCGTGTTATGGAAGTCAAAGTCGAATTTCCCAGAAATGGATTCAGTTTAATTCAATTAATGTAAGCTCCTTAATGTAATTCTTTGGTCAGTTCAAGAATAATTTATGCAATTTTCTATTATTTATTTGAATGAATTAAAAGAGCAGTTTCATGTTTATCCTTGTATTTTTGAACTGGTCATCATGGTTTATATGGGATTTAGAAAGTAATTAGTAATAACTAATGGAATACTTTGTTGAGAGTTATAAGTACAGTAATCTAATTACTCTGATGAAGATGTAATTAATTACTTTTTTGGAGTAATTTAATCATTCACCCAACACTGGAAATAATGATGTGCACTGCACACAGATACTAATTTATAATACTGAAATATCCAATATTAGGCTGCATCTTAAAAATCAAGTCATCATCTTGAGAAAACGAACTTTTGTTTAGTCGAGATCACGAGAAAGTTATTGCCAACATGAAATCAATTTTTTTTTTTTATAAAACCAGTAAATTTATTAATTTTGGAAAAGAGTGTGGCAGATGACGAACTACAGTATATATGTCTGGAAGTATTGTATTGAATATTATAAGAGTGTTTCTTCTTATAATTTGTGATATTTGAGTAGACAAGGGATTTAATAAGACAAGTATGTGAACATACCGTATTCTGTGTTTCTCTTCCCTTCCACAACAGCAGAAAAAC